GGATGGTCCTTATTTTTGGATATCATGGTGGCCTCACCACCTAGAGGACCATATGTGGAAATATTTACATTATAATACTATAATAATCCATGCAAAAACACTTATTTTAAATTCCGTATAAACGTAACTCAGGAATCAAGCTCTATCCATCCACAGGCAAGTTCTATGCAAACTTAATGTCCAGCTTAATGACCAGGGCTCCCTTCTTCACTTCACCTTTACCTTAGTTCCGCTAAAATTTATCTCTGCCGATCCTGAGGCCGATTTTCATAGACAAGTCCAATTTCAAGCTTAATTTGCTCTCTCAAAGCTCTCTGATACTTAGAATTTTTGCTCTATTTGCTCATTGAACCACTCCTCCCACTAGACGTCTGGCTTAGGTCAATTTTAATAAATTGTTAAGCCTCAGAACTTCTGTTTTGCTTTGTTTTACTTTAATGAAATCAAATACTTACTATTTTTCCCCCCAATATTGTTAATCTTTTTGTTAGTTGATTTAGGACAATATTCACGTCCTCAAAATTCAAAATCCTCAAAATTCATGAGGTGTTCTTTTTAAGCTCTGAAATGCTAAAACTATTTGGTAGGGAAATGCTTATCGTTGGGTACAATTCTGGAAATTTAAAGGTACAGTCACTGGATAACAGTAGTACCTAATTTTTTTTAACATAAATTTCTACTCTTATCCAACTGAGTTTTATGGGTAGCTAATAATTCATTCTAGCATGTTTATTTAGCCCCTGCATGGGACAGACACTTTGCTAGGAACTAGAGATACAGTAGAGAACAGGTCACGATCTTTGCCCTCTGGGGTCAGCATTCAAAGATGAAGATAGACTATTAACGGACATAACACAGTGGAGAGTAAAAAGTTCCAAGGCTCTCAACTTGAAATATGTGGTTCATCTTACTGCACAGTTAACTGAAGATTTAAAAAATAGTTTTCTTGTGCTATGAAAGGAAAAATATTCATTCTGCATTTATCTTTGCACTGATGTTCACTTTTCCCGTTTATTTCAGCTGCTTGTAAGAGAGAAAAGCAGAGAATGGCAGTTTATCTGCCACTTTTGGTTTTCAAACTGCCGTGGTGTTGCTGCTATCACTTGCCTCCTGTGGGTCCTCGGCTAGCTATGTGTTTTGTTGAAGAGCTCACCAAATTTAGAATTCTAGTCTGTTTGAATTCCAGAGGTTTCTTTCAGTGTATATGTATATAAGACTAGCTTGGTCTGAGAGAAAAACAGAAGTGTGTGGTGATAGAAAGCTCCTCGAAAATGTCTAGCTCGCCTTTCTAGACAGCACTTTGATTTTCTTTTAATTGCAGTGATCCTAAAACTACAGGATACCAAACGCAGCAGATAACAGATAGAGTTGTTCTTGCTACCCTTATTCACTATCAAATACAGTTTCAAACAATATCCAAACATGATACACGCTGATTTCAGCCACCTGCCAAAGATAGGATGCTTTCAGTTTGTCAGAGCCCTGGAACCTGGAGCAGGTGTGGCTCATTTGGCATTTTGTCCCCACATGGAGATTTTGTCCACAGCCAAGTCCTCGTGGGTGACACCTGGGATGGTGTTCTTACAGAAGTGCTGGTGGTAACGTAAGAAAGGAGGGGATATTCTGACTTCTTTTATTAACCTGAAATTGCAGAAAATGGTGGGGGCATCCATTATAGAACTTTTGCCTAATTTGGGACACATAAGAGGAAGCTTTCTATTCTTTAACATAAACCTTTTTTAAAGCAAATAAATGTGATTTCTAAACAAGGACTAACTTTTTAAAAGGAGTTTTAGAGCATTATATATTCTCCTCCATGTTCCAGTGAGGCACCTCGTCTTGGGAAAGGGGCACACAGATCTTTTAGATGAATTAGTCACAGTTGTGCATCCCATCTATTTCCATGAGAAAAAACTGTCCTTATAGGGTGATGTTGGTTGGAGGTTAGGATTTTCTCAAGGATGCCCTATAATGAAAATTTGTATTTTTTTTCTTTTTGTCCTACAGCAGTGTACTGCACCATTCTAAATAATCCTATGAATAAGTGCTCGATGTATTTTGGACATTGTACTTCAGGATCAAACAGCAGAACCGTCATTTCTGCCAAGACTCATGTCTGAAAAGAAATGGCATCAGATGTTTTTATAAATATCTCACCAGCTTCTCCCATCAGTTGTTTCAAATACTAATCCTGATGTTATGTAGTTTGAGATATTCATCTCTTACACTAAAAATATTTCCCATACTTTTATAGTTTATATTATTTTAGAAAAAGGACTCTGAAGCTGAGCTTTTATTTAAGCATATGTTTGCTTTGTCACAGTGGCTGTGACAGATGGAAGTTTCTTCATCTGCAAAATGGGGGTAGCAGTAATAGCTAAACCATATGGCAGTCATGAGAATTAAATGTGATAACATATGAGATAGGACTTTGTAAACAGTACGGCATTACACACATTAATTGTAATAATATTTATACTCTAGAATCAGTCAACTGCCCACATTTTATGGTTCAAATAACAAACACAGACACATATACACCCATGTTTTTAAACGCAAATATAAAACCTACTCTTTGTACAAGCTCAAGGGTTAATTGCTGTATGATTACAAAATGGGTAACAAAAATTGGGAAACCAAGTGAATGTGTTCGTTGCGTCTATTGTGTTTGCCAGGGAAAAATGAAAAATCAACAGCTTCAGTCCTTAACAGATGCAAATAAAACCACAATTCAATCTCAGGAGTCATGTTTTCCTTTCATTTAGTCATTAAGTGTGAATTTATCCTCTTGGAACTTAAAATGATGTTTTTGCAGATTATGATGGGCAAATTGAGAATACTTAAAATAGAGTGGCACTAAATAATGAATATTTCTCTGTAACAGAATAACAAATGACAGGTTATAGGGCTCTAAAAAATGTAATAGCTGTTCACAGTTCCTGCCCCCACTAACCTGACTGGAGAGAGAATGATGAAGCGAAGTTGGCAGGAAAGAATACAGCACAGCGCATTTTGTGATTGTATTTGTGTGCCCAGGGCAGTGGCAGGGCGTGGGCTTGGGGGAGCGGACAGAAGATAAAATCTCAGACACGTGAAACAGGAAATGGGAAAGCAGATGGTTTAGGGGGATTTTCATTATTATTTTCCCCAGGAAGCTTGTGCGTGAAGGTGAGGGGACATCTAGATAAAGAGTAATTACAGAATTATAACAAACGTAGGTAAGTATCTGGAGTCACAATGCTTTTCTTTTCCTTTTTTTCCCCCTCCAGATGAGACTCCAACCAACAATTCACAGCTTGGTAAGATAACTAACATATATTGAAAATGAAAGTAAAAATTTAAAAAAATGTTAAGTATTTTTTGGTGATCAGTTACAAAGCTGTAGTCAACTACATGTAATGAGCCCTGGTTTTACAAGTTTGTTATATTGTAAATCACAGTTAACTGAGGATTTCTGAGCTCATATGCAACCTGTTGGTCAATTTTTATAGCATTTTATAGATGATTTTTTTTGTCTGCCCAGGGAATACCAGGCCTCTAATATATACAATCCTTTGGTATTGAATTGAATTATAATCAAATAAACGATAGCACAATCCAGTCTCATGCTGTTATTCTGCAACATACTGATGTAAGATGCTTTGCAGATGTAAGCTGGGATAAGATGAGATCAATCTGATATTGGACCTTCCACTGTGTGTGATTATTACTTGCAGGTTCTCCAAACGAACCTTCTTTCCAGCTGAACGCCGTCACCAGTGCACTGATATCAGGGATGGTCATTCTGGGAGTCACGAGCTTTACCCTTCTCCTGTGCTCACTGGCCCTTCTACACAGGAAGGCACCCACCAGCTTGGTGCTGAATGGCACACGAAACCCAGTCTTTGACTGACTGTAACAGGCTCTCGGGAGGCGTCACTGGCCGTACCGTGTGTAACTGCAGTCAGTGTTCTATCTGAATTGAATGCCAGCCAGCATTTGGTATTTGTAGGTTTGAGAGATTTCACAGTGTAGCTTGTCAGCATGACGTTAGTGAGAGAATTGTGATAATATTGCTCTTGTCACTTATGTTTGTGGTCAGCCCTATTTGTGTGTCACCAGTGGGTATACTGACAATAAGCAAACACCATTCAGGACTTAGTTCTTAGTCATCATTTCACTTTATTTCAATTTTCTTTTGATTAATGGTTTTATAGACAAAAGATAGGCATAGAAAAAAAAGAATTTGTTGCATTTTATCCCTAAGCATTAAAACCTGTTGTGATGGCATTTAGATTTGCATTTGTGGTCCTGAAATGAAAGTTGCTTTTTGTTTTATTCCAGATAATTGCAGCTTGGGGATATGTTTTAATTGGACTAGCCAATTTAGACACCCGAGATTTAATTTCTCATTCTATGACCTCCTATGTTTTTGGCTGATTTCCATGTCTGACGACATTCCTTTAAAAAAAAGAAGAAGAAGAAGAAGGAGAAGAAGGAGAAGAAGAAGAAGAAGAAAGAAGAAGAAGAAGAAGAAGAAGAAAAACCTCTTAAAATGTATCTTAACCTGGGGAAAGCATCCATTTGTGTGGCAAACAGTAAAAATAGTCGTTAACTTCCAAAGGATACTAAGTGACCCTAGATCATTATTCATTTGCTCCAAACAGCTGTGATCCGTTTTCTCCTTCTGGTTCAAGTGGAACATCAGCACACGTTCACTCTGCTCCTGGGTAAACTGCACCAGCTGCCATTGCAGCTGCGCTCCTGGCAGTGCAGCAACTGCCAAGACGATTCTTAATTCAGTAACCGTTACCTGGGAAAGCAGACAGCAGTCGTGGGAAGAGGCCGTTGGCCCCACACACAAGCACGGCATTCCTGTTTGGTTTTTAACAACCTAGGTTCCTTTTTTCTTTTTTTCCTTTTTTTCTCCTAGAACAAAAGGAAACAGGTTAAAAATGTGCTTTGCAGAGCTTTGTTTGCATCTCTACAAAAAGAAAAGGTTCCCTTTCTTACAAATTTCTGATGCAGGTAAGACATACGGTCTGGAGGAAGCCTACCTTTTAAGGTGTCTTCTTGAAGGTGTCATGATTGCCATGGAATAAACAGTATTTTCCTCTAGCAGTAAACTGCAAAAAGCAGTTTATCTTTTACCCGTTTTTCAAAAAGTTTCAAAAGCCAAGTTTTAAGCCTATATTCTTACCAAGAAACACTCTTTCCTTTGTTCAATCTAGCCTTTGTGCAACTGAACAAATAAAAGGATTCAGTGACAAACACCAGAACCCAGGATGCACAGCTACTTAAAGTGCCATTTTTCACATAAACATTGCTATAGAGATGAATTTCCGTTTAACATTTGTGACCCATTGTTCAGGACTTAATTATACTGAACTACATGCAGATCACTATGCAATTTTAGATTTGTTTCAAATGAAGTGCCTGTGCTCTGAAGTTAATAATTAAATCAACCGTCAAATCAAAAAACACCTTTTCTCCAATTTGCCCGACTAGTTCAGAAGAAAATATTTGTATTGCAATAATCAGCTGTATAGTTGCCTCAACTTTCTCTTTCAAGGTGTAGACACAGCCAAAGGGAAATGGCATCTGGAAAGTCTCTAGTTAATTTATTCAATGTAACAAGGTCTAACACTTAAAAAGCAAATCTCCTCTTCCTCATGTTGCTTCAGAATAACTTTGAAATGACCATTCTGAACTTTATCTGTGTTAGCAAATTTATTTACTAATTTAAAGGGGAAGATCCTACAGGAAAAAAAAATGGACCATGCCACTTATGTGACCCTCTGTATACATGGATAGTATTGAAATATCCTGGTAAATCTATTTCAGATACTTTAAGTGAATTGCCATTGATCCGAGGATTAAATCCTGTGAATATGACACTATATCACTGAAACTGGTTTGTCAGTATGATTTTTGTGCTTTGGGGATAATTACTGTTTCAGCTGTTAACCTGTTAAATTCTATACACCATTTTATAAAACTAAATAATGGACGTATCATTTTGCAAGCAACTTAAATCTCATTTTTTTTGCTACCCTTTCATCATAAATGGGAGATCCACAGCTCTAGTGAGATGAGCCAGGTTTGCTTTATATAGCTTTGTTCTTACAGACCTGCAGTTATAGGTAGTATTGAGTTATAGTGTGAAATTATTACACAATTATTATAGTGTGAAAAAAAACCTTACAAAATATGTGCAAATGTTCCTTCAGTTTTAATACCTCAAGCTGTTTTTTTTTTTTTTTTTGCACTTCAGGGGTAAGGTCTGATGACATGTAAACAATGATTGTTTAATAAAATAATTGTAAATGAATATCTTTAAAACAGTGGCCTTTTCTTTTTTTTTTTTTTGGTTTTTTTTTGTCTTTAAGATAGTTCTCCATCCTCCTCTCAACATTCTTGTCAGCTGTGGAAAATGTGAGGCAGTGAACTTCTTGAAGTGAGAAAAGAGCAGGAGAACAAGCAGGTGGGAGATACTTGTTTGTGAACACTCATGAGGCATAGGGTGAAGACGTCTCAGAGCACCTGGCAGGAGAGAATTGTCCCAGGATGGGGAGGCTTCTTCCTGACAGCGGGGGCTATGAGGCTAGCAAACATTTGCTTTCATTTTATATTTATAAGAAAAATAGCAAGCTGACCATAGATCAATTGCTTTTGCAAGTAAGATTCCTCAATTATTTATAAGTGGGGAGACATTTAATACAAAACAATCCAAATTTGTAATTTAGAAAAAAATATACTTGGGTTGTAAATGAAGCAAACACCAGGGTTAGCTGGTATATTAGCCTGGGTTCTCCAGAGAAAAAGAACTAATAGGATGTATGTATATACAGAGATTTATTTTAAGGAATTGGTTCACATGATTATGGAGGTGACAAGTCCCAAGATCCACAGTGGACAAGCCGGAGACCCAAGAGAGCTGGTGATGTATGTCCAGTCTGAAAGCCAGCAGGCTCAAGACCCCAGGAAGAGCTCTCGTTTCAGTTCTAGTCCAGAGGAAGGAATAAATTGGTGTCCCGGTTAGAAAGGCAGTCAGGTGGGAGTAATTCCCTCTTAGTTACAGGAAGGTTAGCCTTTTTTGTTCTATTCAGACTTTCAACTGATTAAATTGGTCCACTCACATTAGGGAGGGCAATCTGCTTTACTCATTCATTCAAATATTAGGTCTCATCCAGAAACATCCTACAGGCACACCCAGAGTAATATCTGACCAAATGTCTGGGCCATCCTTGGCCCCAGTTAAGTTGACACAAAATGAACCATCACAACTGGCAGATTTGTAAACACACTATCAATATGTATCACGCTGCTAACATACTGAAACATAAAGGGAATTAATAATAAACGTATTACAAAACGTAACAGTTTCCACATGAAATGATTTTGAAATATTTAATGTCTGGAGGCAGGGCTTGTGGTCAGAGTCCTCTTTTATAGTAGTTAAAAGGATGGATCAAATAGAAAAAAGACAGGGCCATGGTGAGTAGTGTGTTCCAAAATTGCCCTGCATTAGCCCACATTATCAGGAGAAACAGGGCAGAAGGAATCCTAGCATCAAAGTCCTGGTTCGACCTATGTCCTGCAGCATTGGTGCTGAGGGTGCTGGTAGCCACGATGTGGAGGGAGTGGTGACGTTAGCAGTGACAACAGACCAGAAACAGTGAAGAACATCAGAGCAAAGCAGAGACAATAGGGAGCAAGTGCACCAGGGGACGTGCTGGACCCTGGGAGGAGAGGCAGCTTCTTCGGTAGCAGTTTCTACCTAGTTCACTGGTAGAAACAAAAACAAGCCTCTGGTTGCTGTTACCCATATTCCTCATGATGGTGACGTCTCGTCAAAGAAAGTGCAAACTGGAAAAACATAAATTAGGTTTTCATGTTTGTGAGAGTATCTTGCCTGGTAGCTTGTAAAAAGTGTCAGTATTTGCAAATTTGAAGAACAGGGGAGAATTAAAATAACCTTGATTAATGCCCCTTTTTGCTGAGATAGCCAGGAGAGAATTGGTTTGGGGAGCATCTCTTCATGGGTACTAGACATATTATTTGGAAATCTCTGTTCAGTAAACTTCACTTAAAAATGCTTTGTATTCTTGGCAAAGTGAAATTGAGAACTCAGATGATTATCTGCCCCATCAAACTCCAATTCCCTTTTGCCTCAAGTATCTGGATAGGTTTTGTTTTACTTAAATGGCCAACATAATTACCTCAATTTTCCCTTTCATTTTCTATGTTGAAAAGAGAAGTGACATCATTATATGAAGGTTTAGTCAAAGGCAACTTGGCCCAAATTTTGAGGTTCGTTTCCAGCAGGAGCATAGCTGTATTAGCATTGCCCGAAGCAGAATCTACTACTGGATAATCCTGCTGGTTTGGCTAATCAGCTGACGTTGGAAGAGCCTGGTAGAGTGTGGATTTGACAATTTCATGCAACCCTGACTCAAAGTTGTACGGATCCTGAAGCTGTTTCTCCTCTGGGATGTAGTTTTGCAAATTCAGAAATTATTTACCACTTGGGGATTGGACCTGATTTTATTTTAAAAGCTATTTTTTGCTAACGTATATTTTGTTGTTTATAAAATGAGATGGCAGAGAATGATGCAGAGTCCTGGTGAGAGAGAATTGAACCCAGCCATCTCTCTTAAATCCTATGGAGATAAATCACAATCTTTTTGCATCACCCTCACTCTCGAAACACAGTAAGGAGCAAAGGTGATTCACTATCTCTCATTAAAAGATTTACTAAAACTTTAATGCTTTTTTTCCAGTTTGTTAATGGATCCGTAATGAGAATTTCTCTTACTTCTTACTCCACCATCTCTGGTCCCACACTAGCCCTTGTCCTATGGTCCAAAATGGAGAAGGGTCCAAAGTAGAGGCAAGAGTCAGACACCATCAATAGTTTAAGGAAATTTCCTGGAAGCTGCCACAGGAGACTTCCTTGTACTTCACTGGCCAGAACTCGGTCACACAGTCACAGTACCAGCAAGGGTGTCTTGGGAACTCCGGGTGTCTGTGTGTCCAGCTGTCACCAGAGGATCTGACTTAAACCCATGTTGCTCAAATAGGGTCATCATTTTACTCACAGCTTTAAAACATTAGATACATTGATTTATGTACAAGGGTGTTACATATAATAATATGTAAATGTATAAAATCAGTTATAGAAAACCTCTACCCAGTGGGAAAATGCTTACGCTATAATATAAAAAGATAAAAGCAGAATACAGGAACGTATATATAATATGAGCACATAGAAAAGCGACAGGAAGGAAATTGATCAAAAGATTAACTATGGTCAGTTAGGAAAAATAATTGATTTTTATATTAGTCTTCTTATATTACTCTCTAGCATGTTTTATTTCTTTCTTTTTGAGAAACTGTCCAGATAATTTAAACCAGAAAGGAATTTTAGTGGTATGGTAATTTGGAAGTTGAGGAAAATGTTTTGTCTATAT